CCCAACTTGGAGGGACTACCACCTGCGATTCAAGGAATGGCTGGCGATAGACTCAAACATCCCCATGAGACCGGCAGAGGAGTTTCCAGACCCCTTCCCTCCCCGCCCGAGGTCTCTGGAAATACGTCTGTAACCCGCCTACATTCTCAGAACCCAATCTGCTGTTTTATTTTGCTTCAGGCGGCTAAGCTTCCATCTTCTGCTTTTATTCCGTCCAATTTTGTCCCACCCTGTCTCATTCTGTCTTAGTCTGTCTTGTAACCAGCATCATGACGCAGTGGGGGCGGGTGGCAGTGTTTGAATGTTAAAAAGTTTTTTAGGGGATGGGCAGGGTGACGGAAGGAGGCCCCACTGATGCCCCCCAGTGGCTCCTCCCAGAACCCTGGCCAGACAAAGGTCTGGAGAAGATGACAGGGACCACCTGCTTTCAGACCCATTGGTCGGGTCATACCCACCTGCTCAGCCAATCCTCTGGACTCCAGAGTAATCAATGCTGGCAGGCACCTTCTAGACATTCATCCTGTTACTGGTCTATGGTTCATGTTGTACTTTAACGCATAAGGGACGCTGGACCCGTTTTCCAGCAGGTGCTGCTCCCCACCAATAGATGGAGCCTCTCCCCAGGTGCTAGTGATGTCTGCGCACATCAGCATCACCTTTTTTTTTTTTTTTTAACCAATTCAATTACCTGTCAAATCTGGACAGGACGGGCTTTCAGGCCTTTCACTAGCACTGCAGGGACTGTGTTTTTGTAAAACAAAAAAAAAGAAAAAAAAAGAAAAAGAAGATGCCTTTGCTGTGACCCTCAACTTCTGCGTCCACATGTGCTCAATGCCTAAAAGTTTACAGCTCTGGTCGACAAGTTGTCACTCAATGCCTAAAAAGAGAAAAGAACTCATGGTCTTTTTTTTTTTTTTTTTAACTTCATGCACAGAAGCTCATGGTCTGTTTATCAGCCATTACATGTCTGCACCATTCAGCCACATTAGCTAGCTGGGTGAAACAAGTTTTGGGGAGATCCGCATCTCGCATGTCGAAGAATGTGAGAACCCAGTCGTTAGTTCATAAGCTGTATATCCTGAGTCCCCCCCGGTTCACCCCCCTGCTCCCCCCCGAGGTGTCACATTGAACTGACCAGCTCGGGGGGTGAGGTCCACTAGCTGCAGGATAAGATAGAACATAGACACCCACCTCACTTTGAGACTGTGGATAGCCAGAGATTGGGCGGTGATATTCTTTTCAGCGTTTTTTTGTGCTTATCCGGGATTTCCACACACGCGCTGTCGAAAAATGAAAAGTAGCCCGTCCATTGGTCTTGGCGCCCGGATACATTATATCAGCCTGACTTATTGCTACGCCAAAGCGAGTGCCGGTCATGACGATTTGGGGTGGATAGAGTGCAAAGAAAAGAAAAACACAATTTATTTGGAGGCAGAGATGGTGCAGCTCCCCCATGTTCCGTCGTTGGAGGCTTGAACACGGATGTGGCTGCTACAGGGTCCCAGTGATACTATAATGACAATAAAAAAGGCGTGAAAGCCCGCCCTGTCCAGATTCAACAAGTATTGATTTGGTTGGGCTTAAAAAAACAAAATGGAGTGAGCAAGGGAACCTTGGAGATAGCATTTTGGTGCCTTCAGAGGAACCGGAGTCATGATCCTTGGTGCGTCTGAACCACACCTCACTCCTAGAAATCCACTGCCGGCCTCAAATGTCATGATGGTGACTTTACTCCCGGCATTTCTATTTTTGAGTCACTGTGAATTCAGTCTTTTCCTCCGAGTCCTTTCCTTGATTCCTCTTTCTAGCCCTATTTTTTTTTTGTGTGCCTCATAACATCTCCCATTGGATCACATGTATGGCTGGAGAGCACCATCTTTCTCTTTCAAATGTTTTGTGTTTCGTTTTCATCACTCTTTTTCCTTTCTTTATTTACAAAACAAAATGTATTCCGAAGAGGCCCAGTGCCCAAGCCAATACGCCGTGAAGAACATCAAGTCTGATGAATGCATGATATGCCTGTAGCTGCAGGCCGAGCCCCACCCCCATAGCGTGCAGCTTTAATGCTAATGGTTAGCGCCTAATTGCACACCCCTCAAGCATAGAGAGTGGCTCTCTCTCGCAACCTGCACACGTGCCCTCTTTCTAAATTAGGTGACAGACATGAATAGAAACAGGTGAAACCTAACCTCCTTCAAGAATCCACAAACTGCGAGGCAAAGCCTAAGAACTGAGAGAGATGGACAACTACCCTAAGCATGAATACTCCATAAGCTTTCCATCTCGTCGGAGTCAGTTGAAACACCTACCTGGGATCTAGATTGAAGTAACAGAGGGACAATGATCAGACGTTCCCCGTTCAGCTCCCATCGGACCCATCCTGTCTCGGCACCATCCATTTCTCACTTTCTGTGTATTCTCTCCACTACTGCCAAATAATGATCTACTTACGGTGAGGACATGGGTGCGCAGCCCGTAGTTTGTTTGTTGATGTGGTTGGGGAGGGGTAAGGTAGTGATTATGCTGTGTTTAAGTTTTGTCATGTTGGCTATAGAAAACTCCAAGGGTGTGTGTGTGTGGGGTCCTGGCTGGTGCTCTATTCACGATGTTCATGGGACACTGGACCCGGTTTATTGCAGGTGCGGCTCCCCACTAATACACAGGAGCATTCTGCCGTTAAAGCACCAGTACACCACATATCGGCCCACGGGTGTCAGCATGAAACCCGCACCACTTCGGAGGCCGTCGATTTTCTTTTTCAACGGTGGGCCTGGCCGCGAGGCGCCTCCGAGTTTTGCTTGTGGTGACAGAAACTTTCTGCAAGGCTGGGGCCGTGTACTAGTGGTTTAAGTGCACTATATGGGGATGCTCTTATCACCTCCTCTCGTGGGCTGAAGTGGAACTTTTGTGGGGGGGGGGGGGAAGTGTTTGTGTGTGTGTGTGT